CCGTGATTCGCAGGGTGAAACGCAGCTTGACTGCAAAGTAAGCCCACGTCCATTTGCTGCAACGAATATGTTTTTATTGTCCCCCGGTTGGTTTTAAAGGGAATCAATTTCACTACTGGAAATATGTTCTCATTGTTTCCAGTGGACAGAAGCAAATGGAAGAAGCAGAGGATGCCCGCACAGGTGATGGTGTTTTAGCAACTCTAAGAGCAACACCTAGGTTTGTCTCGCAATGTGACATGGGGCGAAGAAAATTGGTTTCTCTTTGGCAAGGGACGAAACAACCCCCCCCAAACAAAAACATTAACAAAGGAACCAAAACACTCCCCCCCCCCCCCCCGCCCACATTCCACTGCACTGTTTTCCTGTCGGTGGCAGGCATCCAGCCAGCGCAACTGCCAAAGCTGCGAGCCAAAGCTCGAGCATCGGCGGAGGAGGCCGAGGGACAAGCGAAGGGGCCAAGCGAAGGGGAGCCGTAGGCCTTAGTCATAGACCGATTTTCTCATTGGCCGTCTTAGGTCTGCCTGGTCTGATGGTCTTATGGTAGGCCTATGTAAGCTTCTACCATCTGGTCTTGTGGTAAGGCCTATATAAACCCCTACCATCTCGGTGGAACCAAACCTGCACATGACTTCTGGGCACATATGATGTTTTCCAGGCTTGAAAGACTGAAAGGGTGGACATGGCTCCCGAGGGAAGAGATGCCTCTCATTCTGTACTTTCCCTCTTGTGTTCTTGCTGCTCCTGCGCCTTCTCCGTTTGCTGGTCGCGTTCTTTCTTTCTTTGTTGGTGTGCTTGTTTGTTTTGTTGCCCTCTGTTTAACCCTTTCCATTCAAGGTGCAACTTTCCTGCTCAAGTCGGGCTTGCCTCTTCACTGGGGGAACCTCCAAAACGGGTGGGATTCCCTTTGCCTTCCTTTAACACAACCTCCAACATGGTACCCCAGGACCGAGCGTTGAAAGTGCCTGGGATGCGGCGCATGCGGCGCATGCGGCGCATGCAGTGGGCTCCGCCGTGCCTCGAACCGCATGGGAGGCGCCAAAGCAACGCGAAGAAGCGTCACCCTCTGGGTGTTTCTCAACATTGACCTCTCCACCCCTCCAGATGGTTGGCTTCCTGTTGGTTCCCCTTTAAAACCATCCTCAAAATGGGGTCGGCTATGTCGAGACACACCCTTCTACTGGTTAAGGGGACAACATTGGGCACACCAAATCATGAGAAATTGGCAGGCTACTCCCTAAAATTCCTGTGTTAGCTGGGGAGAGTGTACCTTAGCTATGGTTGTTCTCCTGCCTTCCCTTTCAACCCCACTTGACACACATTGCTAATTGCACTGCCGGTCCTGGTGCCAATATATGAGCTTGAGGTCTGGAGGCACATGGCAGGCTCTTGCCACGACAATTCAAAACAATTGTAATGACGTGGCCTGGACTGACAGCTGTGATGTCAGCAATGTATCAGACTTTGCGGCGTCCGAGTATCATAGCTGTCGTTTGTCTTCAAACTCTTTTGTCATTGTGCGACATTCGGTCCCTGTCAGACTCAGGTGCTGACCAGCCGTTGTCTCAGAGCGAGCCCGTCAGAAACGGACGCCCCATTTTGGGATGGTTCTTTTGGGGAACCCAAAAGGAACTAAACACCTGAAAGGGGCCCGGATAAAGCACAAGGAGCACATAACACTGGTTTCACGCTCACATTTCTGCCAATCAACTTGCAAAACACAATCCTTTGGGTCTTGAGCGAAGCCTGTTCAGTAAAAATGCATGGCATGCGTTCTTGATGGTTTTTGCTGGTTCTGGCTTCTGTGCGCATGAGATTGTGAGAGAGCGAGAGAGTCTTTGCCTGAGGGCCACCTCCAGAGGACGGCCCGCCCTTGCGGAGTCAAACATGGCATATGGGCGAATTCGCGCTTGCCGCTAATAAGACAAACCTGTATCGCACAGGACCTTTTGATCGCCAACATTCGTGGGTCACCAGGACTTGCCTTGTGAGGATTCCTCTGGAAACGGGTCTGTGTTTGTTTGAGTTGGTACCAACCCTTTGTGGCGGTTTCTTTCGGGAAACCAAAAGGGAAACCAAAAGGACAGCCAACGCCATTTTAAGACCTGGATCAAAATGGGTCCATGCAGGACCCCCTGGACCAGATGCTTCTCGGCACTCGACTATCCAGACGCTTGATCATGTTGCTTCCTTCTCGCATGAACATCCAATCGAGCAAGAAGCAACCTGGTGAAAGCTCGGTCATCTTCCCCCCTATAACATGGCAGTTTGGTCACTATAACCCCCCCCAAGTGCGAATACGTGTACCCAATGTCATCCCCCTGCCACAGACGGCAATATTCACGGAAAAAGAGGTTAAAACAAGTCAGCTATAATAGTAAACAATGAGCTGGCACACCTCTGATGTCACGCAATTCGCAGGCCTTCGCCGGTACCATAATTCTCGCAGCAAACACTTTTCAGCATCTCCGCCTGGGCCAGTTCCCAACGGATGAACCACCGCAATGGTGGCTGGTGGTTACATCACTCTTCACCCTTTTTCTCCTGTCCATTTCGGGTTAAACCATTTTTTTTCGGTTCTGTCCACCATGTCCCCGTCTTTCTTTGCTCATTTGGGTCCAGCAGTTGGGTCCGTTGGGTTCGTGTCTCCGAGGTACGGCCTAAAGACTCCGCACCCAGAGACCACGCCCCGGGGCGTGCCGCTGCCAGGCCCGGGCGCTCGGGCGATCTCGGACGAGCCGACGGGGGAGCCTACGGGGGACCCACGGGGGTCCGTTCGTTTCCCGAAGTCGGCCACATTGAGCCACTTGGTTGAGAAGTTTGGCTGGTCTGAGTGGAAGAGGCTGGTGAGGGGCGGAGGGGGCAAGGAAGGAGTAGAGAGTGCACATGGCAGAGCGAACATCACTTTGGCATTTTCGAGAAGACTCTCAGTATACCTTGCAGTTCCAGAATCGCGGTTTTCCTCAACCCGCAACTGGCCCATGTCTACAGAGCTTCGTGACTGGAGCCTTGCCAAGTTCGCAGCATATTTTTTCCCATGCGAGGCTCGGTGCTCCCAGTAACTGCCGACGAGTTTGGAGATGTACCGCTTGGCAAGAGGCCTGGCAGTGCACCGTCCAATGAGCCCATGCAGTCGGAAGGCCCGAAATTTAATTTCTTCGGACAGGTTGGTGCACGTGGATTTCGTCAGCTGCGCTGCACTCAGCACCCTCCGTTTCGGGCCGGTTGGGTCAGAACCGCAGCGCTTGGCATTGGCGGCAAGAGATGCTTCGAAGGTATGAATCTGGGGACAACGGTTGATTGACATACGGTGGATGCCAACTCAATGTTGGAAGCAAACCAACCAGCAGCCATGGGAATTTACGTTGGGTGTCCTTTGTTCCCTATGTGCAATATTCAGGCATCCACCGTAGATCCCAGTGAGCTGAAATGTCCACGGATCCAAGGTACGAGCTGACCCCACGGGTATTTGGCGAAGCAAATACTCTATGCTGCCATTCGACAGAGGGAGCTGGCTGGATCCTCCTTGGCGCCTTTCACCAATGGGAGAGACACCTGTGGGGGGATGCGAAGCGTGCGTGACATATTTGCAGCCACTTGCATTTGACACACACACACACACACACATTTTGCGGCTGTGGTCAGAAACATGGGCTAGGTTGCTTAGAAATAGATGGGTCCAGATGAGTTTCATGCCATTTGCCAGGGCCATCTATTTTTCCAACAGGTCACCCATTCTCGCAAGGTCTTCAAGATCTACCGGCGCCCTCTTCCACTGGAGCAAGGGTCCCCCGTGTACCTGCGGCAGCTCAGCAAGACAAAAGACCTCCATACGCAACTTTCACTCGAGCAGCATGTGGGTCTGTCTTTCTTTGGGTCTTTGGGGACGCCCCCCCCCCCAAAAAAAGCAAGAACAACAACTTTTGGTTTCCCTGAAAGCCACCAAAACAGGGGTACCCTCAAAACAGACAGACCCAAATCCCCCGTGCTGGCGCTGCAGGTATTCTCAGAAGGGACGTCGACTGTGGCTAGGACTGGAACCTTCAGGGTCTCCCGCATGTCCTTTTCAATACCAGCTTCCGCTGGAGGAAACCAATCAGAGCCCGCTGAATTTGTGTATCACACCCGATCACACCCAAATGACCGAACATAGTCTGAAGCAACATGGATGTATCCGGAACTATCACCAAACGGTGTGTCTTAAACTAGGGCGCCCCAGCAATTGTTCCACGGTGGCTTTGCCTTTGGTTTCCCTTGTAAGCAACCGCAGAAGAGCTTGGTACCCTCGACAAACGACAGCCCCAGAGAGAGAGAGAGAGAGAGAGAGAGCAACTTCTCGATGCGGAAAAAGACACGTCCGAGTCACATCTCCCCCCTTCTCTCAGGAGACGAGATCTCAAGGCGTCAGGGTGAAGCGATGCTGGACAGGCGAGGCACAAAGCGAATCTGGAGGAGGAGTTTTGATGGCTTTATAAACTTTATGGTTGGACCATAGTCGGCCAGCCTTCGGAACAAAACCCTTGGATTTGTTCGATGCTTCTAGACTATGTTGAATGGGAATGCGCCATGCGTTCTTTGTTTTGTGCTCCGCCCATTTTGGTCCATTAAAGGGTCGCCATATTTTCTTTCAGGCTTCATTTGGGACGCCCCAAAATGGCGGTTGTCCTTTTGGTTTCCCATCAAACCACAAAGCATGAGCACCCTCAAAGAAAAGCGCCAACCAAGTTCATCAGAACAAGGCGACAGGTAGGCTCTTGAGAGTCGTGCCCGCCTCAACTTTCATTCGTGACCTGTTTGGGTGTGGTTCTTTTTTTCGGTGCCCAGCAGCTGGGTGGGTTTTAAAGGGACATCACCGGGAAACCACCCATTTTAAATGAGGTGTTGTGACGGTGCCCAACCGCGGGGTTGGTTTCAAAGGGAAAAACCGCCAGAAGCCTTCCCGTGAGGTCCCAAATCAATCCCAGAGCGAGCCCTCCCGATTTCCACCCGCAGGGTGGGGAAGAAGTATGGGATCCAGCGCCTTGGGTTTTTGAGTGGCCGCTGTGGCAGGTGGTGGTTCGCTTGGTTCAATAGGCAGGGAATGAGGGTGTGACCCTTATAAACCATCCCTTGTGGTTTCCCAAAGGCCTGAAGAGGCGTTGCTTGTCATGTTTTTTCTTGCTGGTTCAATAGGAAAAGAATGAGAAATGGAACGACCCAAAGTGAAAACCATCCAACTGACCCCTGGGCCCCTGGGTTCATTCCCACATTGCCTACTGAGCACCAACAGGTTTTTGGCACCCGTCTCTACCAACAGGCCGTTGAACATTTTTCACAATGCCACCATCAAAAGCTGCAACTATGACTGCATGTCCACATTTGCATTCTTCACATAACTGAGTCTGTTTTTTTCTTTCGCAGGTCAGTGGCTAAGGACAATTTGCCAAGCATACCGTCGAGATCGGCCGATTGCCGACTTATGCTGTTTGCTTGCATGCTTGGTTTGTTGAGCTTCCATGTTCATATGCCTTTGCAATATTATACTACGTATGGCTCGCCATCACACAACACACATGCACACATCTTGTGGTGAAGAACATAGTTTGTACTGAGGGAGACATTTTAGGACAGGAGCCAGGGAATCATCCAATTAGTCTGGCCCCCCTGACCAAGCCATCGCAAGTGCTTTGACATGCATTTGGAAAATTGGCAACCTGAGGCAGCGCGATTGACTCTTATGTGTTTCATTCATTAAATCAAATGAAGAAGTGCGTATTTGCTGCTGAATACGATTAAGCATTGGGCTTGGATACAGAACTTCTACTTGCATGATTGCAAAGATGGATATTCGTTTTTGCACTTCTGTGGCTGTTTGGCGTTCAAGGTTCTGCTGCCATGGCGTAAAGATGTAAATTATATACATAGGTATATGCTGCATGCTTTGTTCGTATCTTGAAGCAAGGATGATCGATTCATCATTTTTTGGTACGCCGCGCTTCTGAGTCCCTTACGACCTACGCGAAACCCGAAACCGCGGTCAGAGGTTCTCGTGGAACGGGATGTGCTCTTCTGCGCTGGACAGCTTGCGGCTGGTTCTCTGGGCGCAGACCAAGGGGAAGAATGAGGAGCCAGGGGTCATAAAACCGACGCCCGGAAAATCCATGGATTCAGTTGTCTTGTGGATCAGGTCCCTCACCAAATAAGGGGTGCACCCGGACAGGTGGCCTAGAATAGGCGTCCGGGTCCCAATGCTTCGGTGTTCCTTTTGGTTTCCCCTTTGTTTTGCAACCGAAAGGGTTCCCCAAACGGCACACGGGTCCCGAAGGACGGTTGGTGTCCTTTTGGTTTCCCGAACAACCAACTCACTCCAAGGGGGGCTAGATCAAGCTGAACTCCAAAAAGAGAAGTTAGGAGCTGATGGCGGCTCTCGGCTGGCAGCTTAGGGTTTTGGGCGCGCGAGAAAGACTTGGTGTTTGATTGAAGAAAGAAGGGGGCAATTTTGGGGCACAGACAAGAATTGATCCAACTGGTGCCAGGTACCAATCATCTTGGGGTACCCAGAGTCTCCACGAAATGTAAGATGTAAGGCAAGCTCACCGCTTCAGGGGTTAACAAAAAAAGGCGAAAGCCATGGTAAGAATCCTTTACTTGGGGATCCGATTCTGATTTCAGGTTCTGGAACTATCTGTAGATTGGTGCCAGGTACCAATCATCTTGGTACCTAGCATCTTGGGGTACCAACCATGCAACCATTGGTTGTCCCTCAGCCATTTTCGGTGTTTTGCTCCCTCGTTGACACCGAGGACACGAGTCTTGGTTTGATCTTGGCGCGCCAGATCAGAGTTGCAATTCTTGGTGATTGGCGCATGGTTTTGACACGATTCAACGTCTCCTATGGCGCCCAGCGATTTCACTCCCTCGGCTTGTCTAGCTGACAAATATCTCCCTGGCAAGATAGTTCGCATTCTTCAGATCAACTGCAGCAAGCTGCCGGCGAGCACATGTGGTCTCCCCTTTGGAATCGCAGCAGTTCGGCAGCGTGCCGTGCAAATATGAGTACTCGCATGTATTCATATTGTTAATACATGTAATGTGACATTATTAATAGATATCATGTTGAGTGCATCGAAGCCTAACTGAAGACCGGAAATGCCTTCTTATAGGCTTCACATGCCTTTAAGAAGCTGAGTTGAAGCCGTACAATACAAGGCTCGTACCTGGAACCTAACTCTTGAAAGCGCCGCTGTCCGGTCCGCAGAGCGCTGACTGGAACCCCCCAAATAATTTGCTTCGCAGAGGCTGGCGGCATCATGGCAACGACCAGCAGCTAGCGAACCATGAGGCCTGTGCAGTTTGTCGCTTGGTTCAGACCCAGTGAGGTTCAGATGCCGAATGTAGAAGGACTCTCCTGCCGAGGTAGTTTCCTTCACACGGTGTGTACTTTCCCCTAGCTCGCCATACACCAAGCTGTGGCAGTATTTGACGTATCTCATCTTAAATCGTTTTGGGGTACTGGTGCTACATCCGGGGTACATAGTGTATAGTATATATTTGCTTCTCCCCCCGCTTCTCTTCTCTTCTCTTCTCTTCTCTTCTCTTCTCTTCTCTGCTGGTCAACCGAAATGGCCATGGGTCAAAATCCCGTACCCCTAGTGAACATCCGGTTCTAAAATGGCTGGTGAATTCACCTACCCCAAAATGGGATCCCAAAACGGTTTTGACAACCACAGCCATTTGAGACTAACCATTCAATTAATTGACCTTCCCCTTTTCTAGGAATCGGATCCCCAAAAATGCTGGCATTCTTGTTAGTTTCCCCAAACAAAAATCCCCAACAGAAATCTTTGCTTCTCCGCTCGCGGCTGGCTGGGGCAAGTTTTGGCAGGTGCTGCTCGCCTCGGCGGCGGAAGCCGGCCTGGATCCCAGGGAGGCCAAGGAGGCGGGTGGAAAGGGCCCGAAAAAGCAGGTTTCATGGGCGGCTCGTTTGTTTGTGCCTTAAAAAGCAAAAAATAAGGTTGAACCCAACCAAAATGGCTTGGGTTGTCCTTTTGGTGTCCCCGTGCGTGCGTGCGTGCGTGCGTGCGTGCGTGCGTGCGTGCGTGCGTGCGTGCGTGCGTGCGTGCGTGCGTGCGTGCGTGCGTGCGTGCGTGCGTGCGTGCGTGCGTGCGTGCGTGCGTGCGTGCGTGCGTGCGTGCGTGCGTGCGTGTGTGTGTGTGTGTGTGTGTGTGTGTGTGTGTGTGTGTGTGTGTGTGTGTGTGCGTGGGTGGGTGGGTGGGTGGTTGGGTGCGTGCGTGGGTGGGTGGGTGGGTGGGTGGGTGTGTGTGTGTGTGTTTCTTGGGAGGGTGTCTTTGAGCGCGTCTTTTCGTGTGTTTTATTTGTTTTCTTGATGGGGGCTTGTTCAAATCGAAACCACAAGGAACCAAACGTATTAAAAACGAACACACCAAAGGCTCCAAAAAACAATCAAGCAACAAATGGATACCCCAAGGGGTACCCGCAAAAAAAAGACACCCAAGTGACCCAAGTGGAAATCGCGGTGCCCATATCACAGTTTAGTTGCCTGAGGTGAGCGTTTGTACTGCATCTCTCAGAACGGGCGTATCCTTAAACCGCTCCCGGAATGGGACCCTTTTGATCAAGAGCAAGTAAGCTTTGCATGAACTCGGGGATTTTTTCCGTTTTTGGAGGGTGCCTTGGGTTTCCAAAAGAGAAAACCGACGCGCCAAAAATTCGGAAGCGGCCGTCAAAGATGGCTGGAGCAAGCCATTGGAGTCACAAGCATGTAGGGCGACCTTCCAATTCCGTTCTTTCCAGAAAACCAGCCTTCTTTCGAAGCCGCCCAGAATATTTGGGACACAGCAGGCATTGAAAAGAACGATGGTTCAAAAGAAGGGAACGGGAATCAACCCCTAGACATGTAAACTAGACTTGATTTCTTGTTTGCCTTGGTGGATTGGAGTGAAATGAATGGAGTGGCGTCCCACTGGGCCTCAGGTTCTTCCCAGAAAGGCGACCATGCACCCAACATCACTTAGTCAGAAGCTCCGGGCATATTTGGTGTCGCCTTGACATGGTAAGCAAAGGTTGAAGGGGCTTCCCTTTGAAGTACAAAAAGGGTCGCCCATGTGTTCAAAGGCTCAATCTATATGTCCATATATACATATATAATATATATGAAGCCCTGGTATGAACCCTAGTTTATAGGTTCATCAACCGTTAGTTACGGCTTGATTATGGGAAATCAGCCTTTTTGGGGGTCCTAAATGGATTCCGATGGGTTCATATATCTATCTTTGCTTGCCCTTTCTAGGAAACGGTTTCTATGCTTTTTGTTTCTTTTTCAAACCACCCCTGTAGGATGTTAAAAGAGTACTAAGGAGTACTTAAAAAGAACCTACAGGGGGAAGCACAGTTGAAATCCACAGAAAGCGCGAATCCAAAGCCGTTTTCCTGGTCTGAGTAGGTGAGCTAGGAAAGTCGCCAGGTCCTCAATTCGCGGCGCTTTGAGAAAGAGCTGCTCGAGAGCAGCACGCAGTGGACGAGGAGCCTGGGGGGGGGGGGTTAGGTTTCGGCGAGTCGCGAGCCGGGGTTGCTGGCAAGTGAGCCACGAGCAAGCAAAACCCTGGGGAAGTAAAGGTTAGGGACACTCCCAACCACAGAAATTGGGCGGACATCCGCCTTGGTACCTCTTTACATGGTTTTGGGTTCACCATTTGTGTGCCAGGGTTTGGTTATGACTCAAGGCATTACCTGAGGGTCAACACGCGCATATCTCATCATGGGGTTCCTGATTTGAAAGGTTTGCAACCCATGTGGAACCGAAGGGAAGCCATCCATTTTGAGGGTTCCCTATTTAGAGGCACACCGAATTAGGCTGTTCGAAACTCATGAAAACTGTCCCATAGCGGCCCAACATTTGCCTTCACAAGTTCAGGCCTTTTCATACTTCCCCCACCAAAGGTGGTTTCAACCATCACAATGATTCTTCGGGGAACCTGACAGAAGATGATCCTTGGTTCCCTGCCGAGTTAGACAGGAGATGAAGGAGTTGCAAACTTGGGTTGCCCTTGTCATTCACCAACCACGAGCAAAACAACACGTGCACTGACAACGTGGAATCATTGTCAAGTTGACGACGTGCATGGCCGAGAGCCTCGCATCGTTTTTGTTCCCCCTTTTGGCAGCGTTTGGGCCTGTGTGCCCCATGCTTGGGCTTGAGGGTTCCTGTTGTGAAGTTGGTCATTGGAGAGCTCCGGCAAATTGCACGGATCGATAGGGGAGCTAGAGGCTACATCCCATCGAGTAATGTCGACCCCAGAATAAACCCGTCGGGGGTGTTCCCTCAAAAAGTGGCCTGAAGCCACACATTTAACGCGGGACACCCCCCCATCTTAATCAACTAGGGTTCTACTTAGATCCGGGTTCCCACTATTTGCAGGAAGACTGTGACGCCTGCAGGCTGGACAAGCGTGCCCCATGTTTGTTTGGGTTCCTTTTGTTGGTGCCCAAAAGGACTGAATTGACGGGGGTTGGTTCCAGATTCTGGAAAAGTCACTTCCAGACTTCCAGCCTCATGGCTGCACCACCTGAGCAACGCCGAAAACCTCACCGTACATTACGCCTAAAGGGCTGTGTCATATCGACCCGTTGCGTAAGCATGGCCTCGGGCGTAAGGTGTCAGGTGGCGCAAGCAGATGTTGAGGGAACATGCTCATAAGCTTTTGTTCAGTCATCAGTTGCTTATGTCCATGTGCTTTCTTGTGTACTTCGTGTGCTGCGCTTGTACTGAGGAGTTAGGATTTCGGGCTGGGGCTGCCGAAGTCTGCAAAAGCTTATGCTTTCTCTACGACAAGTGCACTGGCAGCTTTCCCCATTTCCGAGCTGGAGTGGCGAAACCACTACTTCCATAGGTGTCCGTTTTGGTTGGTTTGCTTACAAAATAGAGGGCCCTGGTTTAGATGGGGTTTATTCCATTTACCAGGGCCATCTATTTTTCCAACAGGCCACCTATATGACTACTTCGCGTACTGCACAGGAAACGCGCTCTCTCGTGTCCGCCACCTTTCCATTGATTCCCTGTGTTTTAGGCGAAAGGGTTTTCGGCCACGCCTACTTGAAGCCCATAGTTTGTGGTTCACGCTCGCATTGGGCTGGGAGTTTGTCATGGGCCCCAGGAATTTGAGTACTCTCAAGGTTCGAAGCATCAGGAATGGCCATGAGGTTAGCGGAGCTTGACCGATGCAGAGAAATCCGATGTTGGCATCCAGATCCAACTAAATTTGAAATCGGCATGTGGGATTGTCTCTAAAAGGGGGACCCCCAAACTGCTGGACAAGCAACCCAAAAAGGGGCCCCTCGAAAAGAACACGCTCATGTACGCCGTGGTGAAGCTTGGTCACCTTGGAAACATTTCAGCGGGCTTGCGGGAGCTTCTGTCGCCCCGTCGATTTGCAAGGGCAGGGCATGCTCGTCAGCGGCATTCCGGTGTCCCCTGGCTGCACCATCATGTCGACCAGCATGCCAGATGGTTTTGTCCGTAAATGAGGGAACCCCGGAACCCCGCGAAATGGAGTAACAAGTTTTTGTTGGTGTCCTCTTATCTGCTCCAACAGGGCTATATATGTACTCTCAAAAAGACACTGAGAGGCTTTGGAAGGCAACTTCGAGGGCGCAAGAACGTGAGCTGTAGTGCGTTTGGACTTTGGCAGGCTAGGAATACCCTGGTGCACACTAGCTCAGATGGGGCTTCGCAAAGGAAGGCACTGGAGGGATGGATTCCGGGGCTGCTTGAAGCGGCCGCTGGGTGGTTCTGTGGTTTGGTTTGCGGCATGTGCGTGTGCATGTGCGTCTGCGTCTGCGAGCGCGCGTGCGCGCGTGCGCGTGCTCGTGCGTGCACGTGCGCGTGCGCGTGCGCGTGCGCGTGCGCGTGCCTGCCTGCCTGCCTGCCTGCCTGCCTGCCTGCCTGCCTGCGTGCGTGCGTGCGTGCGTGCGTGCGTGGGTGTGTGTGTGTGTGTGTGTGTGTTCTCGCTTTTGAAGGATGGTTATCACAAGCCCGCGTTTTGTGTTGGTTCTCGGGCATGTGCCAAGGGCAGCCCCTGTCCCCTTCCGTCTTGCATTGGTAGTGAGTGTCATCGACCAAGAGCGACAGCACTGAATTTGGACAATGTGGACAGACTAACCGCGTTTACGCAGATGACACGCTTCTGGTCACTCAAGTACTTATGCCGCGAACCGGATGGCAGGCACAAGTAACTTGCTTATGAGCCAAGCAGCGCTTGTGCTCTCCCAATTAATTGCGATAAGGTGCAAGGGGGGGGGGGGGGCCGAGGCAGCAACGCAGGAAGTTCACCCGCAATACAGAAGCAGAGCCTTGTGGACAAGTGACAGGCTGCCTCGCCAGTTGCGGGCAGCCGTTGCAGCTCACAGGGTAGTTTGGACCAGAGACGCAGCGACGTGTGGGAAGCCGTAATTAAGCTGCCTTGCTTCGATACTTTCCGGGCCTGCTGGTTGCTTGTGGAGGTCGATAGATCTTTGGGCCGTGGTAAGAAGAATATATGAGGTCGCGGTAGGAGCACATTCTCTCATGGTATGGCAAGCTGCCAAGCGGTTGGCGCCCGAAGCTCAAAGGACCGATTTGGACAAAATTAAGAGTACACTCGCGAACGCCAAGAATCGGCGCGGACCTTCACTTTTATATGGCCATTTGGTTTGATCTTCGGACTCTAGCTTTTTGGGAAACAGTGGATTTTCCATTGGACCATCTAAACGTTAAGCTTTTTGCAGAGGGATCAACAGCAACCAAGTCCCTCGGCGGGTTTTTCCCTCCTGTTCGCCAAGAAAACCCTGGTTCCGCTGGTTTTTGGCGCGCGCCTCTTCGCCAAGACCAGGTTGATCTTCCGATCCGGTGGCTGCCAGGCTCGCCGAAGTGTGCCGTTCATCGTGGGGCAACATGAGTTCAAGGGGCAGAACCTATGGCGATCCCATGTTGGGGATGAAAACATCCATCTGAGTCACATGAGTTCAAGGGGCCCGCCTTTGGCTTGGCGTCATTCCAACTGGCAGGGGTTCATCCAAGTACCCACTCCGGAATTCGGGGGACTCCTTGCAGAGATTCAGGAGCGCCCAAAACGAATCTCTCGCAACATGTGTTGAAGCCGGCTTCGGCGTGAGCGGAGGCGTGCATTTTGTAGGGGCGGCAAATGCGTTGGCCCTTTCCGATGCAGCGTGGATTTCTTTCTATTTCAGTGTGCCCCTCACTGGGAACCAGCTAGGCACGCCATGCCCTCTATCCCATCTCGAAGGGGGCCATCCTCAACTCATGGATAGGGATGCAGCACGGTTTTGTTGTTTATTTTTAAACAAGTATCGCTTTTCTTTTGTCATGTTAGCGTCTCAAGAAGGGTAAAGTCAAAAGACCGAACAACATCTGTGCGTCGACCTTGCTGTACTCGACGATACTCTCATCGGTGGGGACATGTTTGCCACGCCAAACAGTGCGACGGTGCAACCAGGGTGTTGCCCAGACTGATGGTGATCGACCCGTCTATAGGAAGTTTAACAACCTCCTCCAGACCTGAGCTCTCTCTTCCAAGAAGCGCCAAAACCCGACCACCCAGGGAGTTGTAGGGTTGGTCCTCCAAAGAAAGACGTTCCTTCTCCAGGGGCCGAGTTTGTCGTTTGGAGCGAGGTTCAAGATCAATCCTTCCTGCCAGATGGCGTGCTTGAAAGTCAATCATTTTTCAGTGCATCCCAGTTACACATATGTAGGTAATCAGTCAAATTCCTCTTGGGTTTTCTTGAATGATTCCCTTTACCCAGCTTTACCAATATGGATCCGCCGGACTTGGTTCCCTACAGACTGAATTTTCCCAACGCGCTCGGCGCGCAGGAGACGCTGCAAGGCTCCGTGCCGCAGAGCGAAGTGGAGGCGGCGCTGGCGCGGCTGGAGGCGAAGACTCCCTCTGTCTCGATGGCCGAGCCCCGAAATGGGGCGGTTTGTTTGAAGGGCAACTGGTGGGGAGACCACCATCTTCTTTCTTTTCTTTTTCTTTTTTTTTTTGGGGGGGGGTTCCCTATGTTGAGATATTTAGGAGTGTGAGACTTTTGGAAAGTTTGAGAACTGCTTTTGGTTGAGAACCAAGATGACTGACTGCAGCTTTTGGTTGGAGCCAGAACATCGAGGATGCGACATCGACGTTCAAGCGTGTTTGCGACATCGCGCAAAATAGAGCCCTCAGAGTGAAATGACATGAGGACTGCTCAACCCCCCCGGCCATTTTTCTAGGGGCTTTCCGATACCTGGCTCAAAAGGGACGATGCAGTAAATCCAAATCTTGATCATCATGTGGGTGTGGGTCAAAATTAAGCCACCAGGGGACCGCAGGTTTTGTTTCTGTTTCCATTTTCCAGTCTCATTTTGGGTTTTTTGGGTACCTATTTTTGACCCACAGCCATGTGTGGATATAACCAAACGCCCACATGGGGCGCTTGGCAAATGAGACACGCGCATCCGCGAGGCACAGGCACGTGATCGCTGAGTTTCTGCCTCTGCTTCAGGCGTGGTTGATCGGATTGGGCGCGCCGCGCTGTGCCTTTGTGCCAGAGGTTGGTGCATTTGGGTCTGCCTTTTTCCCGAACAGCTGAAAGCTAAGGGGTCTCAGCCCAGATAAGGTTGGGGGTGGCTTGGGGGAGCTCTGGAATCAGGTTCGAGCAAGGTTCCGGAGATTCTGGAAATGTCGAGTTCAGGATAGGTGTAAGGTTCAAGGCAGGTTCCGGAGGTTCCGGGGTGGTCTGGTGCAGGCCAGGTGCAAGGTTGAAGGAAGGTTCCGGAGATTCCGGGGTGGTCTGGCGCAGGCCAGGTGTAAGGTTCAAGGAACGTTGGCCAGGTGTAAGGTTCAAGGAAGTTCCGGAGGTTTCGGGGTGTTCAAGGCAGGTTCCGGAGGTTCCGGGTGGTCTGGCACAGGCCAGGTGTAAGGTTCAAGGAAGGTTCCGGACGTTCCGGGTGGTCTGGTGCAGGCCAGGTGTGAGGTTCTTGGCAGGTTAGGTTGAAGGAAGGTTCCGGAGGTTCCGGGTGGTTTGGTGCAGGCCAGGTGTAAGGTTCAAGGAAGGTTCCGGAGGTTGCGGGGTGGTGTGTTCCAGGCCAAGGTTTAGCGGGGTGGTCTGGTGCAGGTGTAAGGTTCAAGGCAGGTTCCGGAGGTTCAGTGGCCCAGTGCAGGTCAGGTGTGAGGTTCAGGAAGGTTGCGCGGCAGGTTCCTGGGTGTAAGGTTCCGGGAGCAGGCAGGTGTCAGGTTCAAGGAAGGGGTTCCGGAGGCAGGCCAGGGTAAGGTTCGAAGGTTTTGGAGGTTCCGGTGGTCTGGTGCAGGTGTAGGTTCCGGGCTGGCCTGGTGCAGGTGTAAGGTTCAAGGCAGGTTCTGGAGGAGGTTCCGGCGGGGTGGTCTGGTGACGGCTAGGTGTAAGGTTCAAGGAAGGTTCCGGATGTCTGGTGACGGCCAGGTGTAAGGTTCCCCTAACAGCTGAAAGCTTTGGGGTGGTCCGGGGCGGCTTTGAGGTAAGGTTCCAGGTTCCACCAGGGTTTCACCAGTGTTGCAGGGTTCCAGCGGTTCAACCAGCGTTCCACGAGGTTCTGTTAGGACTGCGGGATGGTGCGAGCATTACAAAGAGCACTGCATGCTGTTGGGGCTATCACCTGAGGTTTTTTTGTGACTTTACAGGGAAACCAAGAGGAAAACCACCATTTTGGGGTCCCCGAAAAAAGGGGACACTGCTGAAAATTGCTGTGCCTTCCAGGCAAGAGGATCCGTGAGTTCGCAAAACGAGTTGGCACAGGAGCAATCGATCGCAAAGTCGAAACCCGTCAAGCTGATCGAAACATTTGAATATGTCAAGCTGATGGGCTGGGCTATTGGAAATTGCAGTTGCCACTGATATGACATACCAGATGGTTTGTGGTTTTTACAAGGCACTTGCCTCGTTGCTCGAGCGTTTTGAGGTTTCTTCAGGCAAGATGACATAGGCAACAGCGTAGAGGGCTTCCTTTAGAATCCTTGCAGAGTCTGCTTTGGATGACTCAGTTTCAGCAACACGCACAGGCCGAGAGCCCAGCACTGGTTGGTTGAGGCGCCTGAAGTTGACAGGAGTAGAGAGCCCAGCTGCATATACTGGTTGCGTTTGTTGGCAATCGGTACGGAGCAGACTTGTGGGTTGGTCCCTGAGGGTTTTGGGTTTGTGTTGAAGAATAACCAAATGGAGACCAGCCATTTGCGGAGTTCCCCTATTCGGCGACAAACCCTAGCTGTTGAGACCAGTGCAGCGGCGGGTCTGTTTGAGTCATCCTGAACAGGGCCGTGTACATATAGACTGAGACGGGACTGCAAGTGGCACTTTTGGCCTCTGCGAATGACGCATGGATGCCAAGCAGTTCAGCCTAAGGCGACTGAGAAACTTGGCCAATGCTGACAGCAGAGCCACAGAGCCATGGCAACAGCATCTCCCCTGGAGCAAGCATTAATTGCCAGATTTTGGCTGAGCCTCTTGCTGTCTACAGCAATTGGGGAGATTAAAACCGCTGGTTTTAGTCCATTCCATTTGCCGATCGGGCAACCCATATTTGGGTGACCAGATTTTTGACCACCACAGCCGATTCGAAGCAAAGCGCAAAGCCACGGGTGGAGAGTTGCCGCTGCGGTAGTGGCGCTCGCTTGCTGAGTGGCGCCGCCTTGATTTGCCAATGACCTTCTCGAAAATTGGCGCTGCACAGTGTTTTCCGCACTTTGGGTGGGAGCAGTGCAGCAGCATGGCGGTTAGAATTCGATGATTCTTTTGTGGCTGTATTTATTATACCGATACATCCATCCCACAATTACCCAGCAAGCATCCAAAAGTCGCAGAAGCTGCAAGGTTGGCGTGAGACAGTGATGTAGCAACAGGCGGATGGCAGCCCAGCAAAGCTGGGGTCTGGCATTCTAGGTGAGCAGGAAATCAGCTGGCACGCGGTGACAAGTGACTTCCTTGGAGCGTTAAAAGGGGTCCGAAGCGCCTTTTTTTGGCGACACTTTTCGCATTAGATGAAGAGCCGGGCGTTGATTGCTGCTCAAGCAGTGTGTAGGAGTGTTGTATCACTGGAGCTTTGCCGCAGCGTTTTCTTTACACATCTATAATAGGCAAAATCTCTGGGTTCGCGGTGTCTTGGTAGTTTGCTGGCGGCAAGTCTTCCAAGTTTCACTTGCCATCTTCGGAGACAAGGGCAAAACGGTGCGGCCCGAACTTATTCACCTTGGCAGAGCATTGCCCCACATGTGCTTTGGTCAAAGAGCGCTTTTGCGTGGTGTCGGTGGATGGTCATATGGCACACATGCTACCCGCTGCATTGCAGTGTTCAAACATGTGGGCGATTGAAATCTGCGCCCCGATTCGGTAGCGAAGGAGCTGCTCAGGCTGGCTCGCAGTGTCCTAGTTGTTGGTTTTGTGTGTGTGTGTGTCTTTTAAGGATACATTATCATGAGATATCCAGTTTTGCAGTGGCTCAAAAGGGAAACCAACGGGGAAAGCCGGCACAAAACATGGGGTCAGACCGATTCTAACACATCCATTTGCACGCTGATCAGACATGATGTCCAGTTGAACATTGGGATAGGAAACGCAGTTTGCTGAGGCCTAGCGAGCTGATGCAGCGAGCGGCTGGCCTAACTACATGTTTCAGCAGTTTGCCTTGGGCACTGCGCTATTCCTTTGTTTGGGGTCCAATTTCTTGGCGGTTCCCAGCGACGGTTCCTTAGGTTTTTGGGTTTGCAGGGTTTAGTGGTTGGGTGTCCATTGAACTCACTAAAAAGTTAAACTTTTTTGCAGGGGATCTGAGGACAGCCCAGCTTTTGGACGACATTTGAAGGGAAACTAAAAGCACAGCCACAGACCCACTCTCTATTGTTGTATCAATATGCTGGAGGCGCAAGGATATACCCAATGCTGGCTCAAGAGTTTCTTCGCAAGTACATTCCTTTGAAAGCTCCCAAAAGGATGGAGATGCCAACTCATCTTGCCTTCGAGGTAGCAGGTCGTACTGAGGGCACCAAAGGTGCCGCCAGTTTCGCTTTTGTCTTTCCCATGGCCTCTGGTCACATCAATCCTTCTCTGGCCATCGCCCGAAGTCTCGTGGGTTTGGGGCATGAAGTGCACTACTTGTGCCGGGAACAGATGAGGGAAGCCATTGAAGACACGGGCGCCAGCTTTCATAGCGACATCGAGGCGGAGCCTGAGCTCTATGAAGGTCGGGATCCAGCCATGTACGGGGCTCTTGGATCTCTTCAGGAAGAGCACGGCTTGAAAGGCAGCTTCACCAAGGCGCGTTTGCTGTTGCGTGAGCTCTCCATTGAGCTGATGCTTCCGGGGCTGCTGCGTTGGCTTCGGAAGATCCGCGCGGAGGCCGTGCTCTTCTGCCCCCTCATCAACGCGGAAGCGCCACTGGCGGCCCAAATCCTGGGAATCCCATCGGCAGGGCTGCTGACCACCGCGGGGCCTGGAAGTGTGAAGCTCATTTGGAGCAACGTGTTGCTTCCATTTGCTTAAGAATACTTTTTCTATTTTCCTTTTTTTCAAAGGCAATCTGTGACTACTGGAAATATTTCTGGGCTTAAGCAAATGGAAGGTTGAAGTCTGTGAGCTCCACCGCGGAAGAGATCTTGCAGGAACGCCGGAGCTTTCCCGCACTGCTGGAGTGCTTGGACCGACTGCGAGGATATGGGCTGCGGATGCCCCTGGAGGATACCTTGAATCCAGTGGGCCTCATGCCCAGTGCTTTGGCTTCGAATCTGACCTTGGTGACCACTGCGGAGTGTCTGGCGGATCCCGTGCCCCCTGACTTGGCGAAGGCCTACGAAGGCCACGAAGTCCTCTTCTTGGGCCCTTTGTTGGACAAGCCAGGGGCCAAACGTGCAGCTGGTCACAAGTTCGACCACAAGGGTGACGAAAGCAACGAGGAAGAAGTCTTGCGTTTGGCGCGCTCAGCGAAGGCAGAAGGCCGACAAGTGATTTTGGTGAGTCTTGGTACTGTCATCACAGGAGATCATGCTGATTACGGCTGGAAAGCTCATGCCACCATCGACGGAGAGAAGAGAGGCCTATGTGGCAAGGAGCTTTGTCAGTCTGCCTGGCAAGCAGCCTTCGATGTCTTTTCGGATGCGCTGATCCTGTTGGCCTTGGGGCCTCAATCGGATGCCCTCGAGAACCTCGAGGTGCCAAACAATGTCTGCTGCTTTCCGACGCTGCCGCAGGTGGATTTGCTTCGACTTGGAGTGGATGTCTTCCTCACGCATGGTGGACAGAACAGCTTCATGGAAGCCTTGTCCACTGGGGTCCCGATGGTCGTGTGTCCTGGCTTCGGGGATCAGCCGGTGAACGCGGCCAAGGCGGAGCGTTTGCAGATCGGCAGAAAGGTGAACCGGCCCATGGGACGATTGGAAGATGTCGAGGCGGAGAAGTCGGCATATCGTAGAGCAACTGCAGCTGCTTTGAGGGAGGTGACCCGCCATGGCTCCTTCAAAGAGAATGCCATGAAGTATGCTGCAGCTTTGGAGGCATGCGGAGGAGTCGGTCGAGCGACAAAAGTTCTGCTCAGCCTGGCAACTTTGGTGCATTTTGGTTGGATATTAGGACTTGAACTTTTTGCCAACTAACAGGGTTTTCCCTTAAACCACTACAAGTCAAACTGTCAGCAGGGGAGCAGATTTCGCAACCGAGGCAAGTCAAAATGCGAAGCCCCGCGCAGCAAACCTTTCGCTGCTTGGGATGGCAGGCGCATGAAGGGCGCTGAGTCAGGAGCCTGCGTTTTTTCTTTCCGTTTCTCCATTTTGGGCGGAATAGCTCTGACTGATGTCAACTTGCGCAACTTGAGCATGGAGGATTTGGATCTGGATTTTGGTTTGTACAGGCCGTGCTTACCTGTGCTGCGCAATGTAGAGACTGCGCAGGGCACAGGTTCAGGACCTCTTTCACGCATGGGATGAATAGAGGAAGGCAAGCGTCCGTAGAAAAAGTTGGCATCATTGGATGTGGGTCCACAAAACTGTACCGCACAATTGGATCTAGCCGCGCCTGCTGTGCATTGAACCACGCCCGTGAACAGCTGCAGTGGGAGAGCCGTGTGCAGTCCAGGTGATGCTTCTGTGCTCCTGCTCATATTTCTCGTTTTCATTGTTCTGTAGGAGCCTGTTCTCCGCATTTCCATGTTCGGAGAGTGGGCAGCCTCGTGCTTGTCATTGGCAGGATTCGTATTGGCCACTTAACTGTGCGAGGAACCTCAAAAATGGTGCGTGAATCCCCACCCTTTTCTGACGTCCACCACATGGTCTTTGTCTAAAACTGGGTGCCTCAACATAGGGAACCCCTGTATGGATGGTAAAAGGACACCACAAAAAACTAACCACCTAATTTGGGGTCCCCGATCTTGAGAAACATCCACATGGTGGGTCACAAATAGGTACACAAAATGGAACCCTGGTAGATGGAAGCATGGACTAAAACCTGCGGTCCAATTCCTAGTGGTTCAATTTTTACCCATACCCACGTCAGAACTCCACGTCTTTTTCGCTTTTGCCCGGAGCGGGGGCAAATTGTTGGGCTGAGGCCCACGCCTATGGCACGGTTGACTTTCAGCCGAAGCCGAGGAGAGGGGCGCCTGGGGCGTCTGGGGCGCCCGGGTGTTGGGTGTTGGCAATGATTGGGGTGATTAAAACCCAACCAATTCTTATGAAGCAACATAACGCCTTTTTCTTTGCACAGCTTAGTGTAGTGTTGGCAAGGATTGATGGCGTTCAATAGCTGTTCACGGCGGTTTCAACGAAAGATGTAGACGAAAGGCGCTAGACAGTCCATTTGCAGCTGATATTGTGCGCTTCAACATGAACACTGCTTGCAGAGGTGCAGTAGCAGGTTTCCAAAGCTTTTTCATGCGAGCAGCTACGGAAATGTATGGCATTCTCCTGCTTCCACAGGGCTTGGTAGAGATTCACTTCATGACCTGGCAGGAGATGGAGATTGAACAGGTTGGCGATGGTGGAGGCATGGTTTGACAGCAGTGGCTGTAGTCTGGCAGCAACTTTTTTTGCATCTGAATCGGAAAACTGATAGGATGTCTATTTAAACTAGCACACGAGTGATGAGAACATTGAAGATGCCCACATCAAGGTCCTTTTAGATTTCTTCATGTCTAGGCGTTGTAAAGTTGCGGTGTGTCCGGCTCCGGGCCAAAAGAAAGCCGAAGCGACAGGCAGTCATTGTCCCATGGGCCATTTTCGTGTGCGTCGCTTGGCTGCTCACCTTCTCAGCCCGAGCCTTGGACGACCGTTTGGAGAAAAATCGGCGGGGCTCGTATTTCCTTTTGAGGGAACCCCCTTTTGCTTGGCTTTTGAGGGGAAACCAACAAGAATACCAGCATTTTGGGGGATCCGATTCCTAGAAAGGGGAAGTCAATTGAATGGTTAGTCTCAAAAATCGGACTTGGTCTTTGAATTCCAATCAAAGTGCTCGCAGTTTCGGCTCGGATTGCATTGCAGGCCCACTACAAGCACGAGGGGCCGATGTGGGTGCTGGTAGCCGCGTGTGCAACTCTCAGCCAGAGCCATACTCAAATTGGGGCACATTTCAATCCAGTTAAATAGGGATATCCGCCCTGATTCTGTACGTGGATTCTACGTAGACCCCTTCCACCATGAGTTGATTTCTACACTGACAGTAGGTTTGGGGCTGTTTCCAATTTATGCAAGGCAGGATCATCCTTGCAATGAATCATCAGGGTGAAACTTCAAGAATGCCTGCATGGAAATGATTCAGCGTCCCTGCGGGCAGGCTCGGGGCATTCCAGGTTGGGAATGCCGCCATGGACTCCGGGCAAAGGCATGGTGTCTGGATGTATGATGGGGGAAACACCTGGTGGCTTGATATTTTTCCCGGATGTTGTTTGTTCGTCTCGATGTCATCGTCCATTAGTCCATGGAAACCATGGAGGGACGTTCCTGTTCCAATGTTTTGTGTTCCATGTCCAGATGAGAGCACAATCAGGAGGCCCTCCAGCAAATTGCTTTGCTTATGCCCGCTGGTTCACCGATTCACGAGGCCTGCTGGTTCCCGTGGCCATGTGGTACCGGGTACGACTGCAGTGGGGTCGCCCAGTGAGGCCGTGCAGAGTCCGGGTTTCTTGGTGGAATTGAAGGTTGAGAGAAATGCAGCCCTTGAGATAGGGAGAGAATCTGTGTGAGGGAATATCCCGACTCTTGGGGGACCAGCCTCATCTTTCGAATATGGGGGTGCTTCCATGACGGACTGAAGGCCGGCGGTTTTCCCTCTCAATTTCCAAAAAGCGGAGCAGCCAACTCCACAAAAAGCGGCGTGAATCCGGCGAAAGCGCTTCGAACAGAAAGCGCATCGAGGCGTGAAGATGGTGATGCGGAGCCAAACTGGCGGCAGCCCAAGCCAGCGGTTGAACGGTGGAACATTGTCATTCTGAGTCAGTTATTACAGGGCTCCTGAATAGATACATTTTTCCCATTTTAAACATGGCTTTTTCCACCAAAATACAGGGAACCCACCATTTACAAGGCAATGTTCAGGTGTATAATGTAAGGATCCCTGAAATTAGTTACAGACACGCATGCCTTAAGAGCATTGTCAGGTTGAGGCCTCTCCATCCCCCAACAACTCAGACTGACGCCTCAAAATGAGCTCCAAGTCTTCTTGTGCAATGACGTACTTTGATTTAACAGTACCCCCTGTTTCGATCCCGGAAGAGAAGCACCAATGGGAAACAAAAAGGACAACGGCAATTTTAGGGGGTCCACTAGAAAAAGACACACACACTATATATGTAGAGAAAAGTGAGACAGCCGCGTATGACTGCGAGCGGTTGCGCTTGGCATGTGATTGCGGGCACTCCTTACACCTCAGGTTTTACTTCTTGGCGGTGGTTTGCTCGCTGGTGCAGCACTCAGACGGCTCGGAGAGCCGGCTGACAAAATGGTGTGTTTGGTTTGGCGGTTGAACAAATAATTAGTTTCGAGGGGGCAACTGCTGAAACTACCCGTTCTCAACAAATCTTAAAAAGAAAACAACATGTGTCTACGGGAGGGTTCTTTTGCAGTTCGAAGCACAGCTCCCGACGGAGCTGAGGCTTGGCTCGCGGGCTTCGGCTTCGGGCTCTTCAACTGGTTCGCGCACATGAAGTCGTGCCTGGGAAACATGGAGACAGCGAGAGAAGGAGAGAGGTGCTGTGAAGGTTTCGCGCCACATCTCGAGAAAGATGCGTGATACTTATGACAGTTTTGGTGGTTGATGCAAGGTGACATTTGGGTAGACCCTCTCCAGACTCCAACTCCACCCAAACCTTTTGTCACAGAACAGCCCCGAAATCTTCAGCTCGCCGCTTGTGGCTGGGATCCCGAATCTCCGCAAGAAACGCCTTCTGGTCCAGCCCTGGACCCCACCCCGAATCTACGCTCCAAAGGCGGTGAAGCCATGCGACAAGCATATGGAGCAGAAAATGCAAATTGGAGTGACAAGAGCAAGCTGTGCCTTGCATGTTTGAATGAATGCAACCTCAACAATGCTGCTAAAATCATGCTGTGCTAGTTTTTCATACAACCAATTGCGGCGGTTGCATATGTTTGTTTTGCCCGAAGGGCGGAGTTCAGTTGGGCATTTCCGGGAGGAGCGAAGTGGAAACCCTTCGGACCTTGGGAATATGTGTACCCCCCGGGAATATCCCTTTCGGGGATTCACCAGCCGCCCCCTTAGGTTTTTGGTTTTTGGCGGTTTCCATTTAATCCACTAAAACTTAGACTTTTAGCAGTGCATCATTAGAGGTATCTCGTAAGATCGAATGGCACTCCCCATACCAAGTAGTCCATTGAACTTCATAGTGTTCTGTTGACATTTTGACGCCTTCCGGCCCTGGTTTTTTTGAAAGCCGAATCCCGTAGTAAGGCGTTAATCTTTGAAGGTAGACGACTCATGGCCTGTCCTGCCGGAGAATGACGGCGAATGCCCACACAGAAATACAAACCTCGCCCGAAAACAGCCGCAGGCAGTCGTGCAAACGACTTCAATACATTTACCCTCTTTTGTGAGGCCAATTTCAGGCAGTGCTTACAAGTTTCCCGAATATGGCCCAATCGCAGCTCCTACTTGAGAGCCACTGACACATCAGAACTTGTCGGCAATTCAGAGGTACTACGACAGCTCAAACCTGGCGCTGATCTCGAACGTGGATACCAGAAGCTCTCGAGGCGACCTGAATCCTCCTTTGGCCATTGGCTCGCACGGCTTTGGATGTACTTGACTGAAGATTTAAACTGATAGCAACTGTAAGACACGTGTTTTGGTTTGCTTCTGTTCCAAGCAGCTGGGCCTTGATAGTACTTGGGGTAAGCGCACTTGCAGAAGTTGTGTGTGGCATTGATTTCTCCGTGCTTCGGCGTCAATAGATGTTAGCAGAGATTTCAATCTCGAGTTTCAACTCCGCACGCCGGAAGAAGCCGAGGGCGATTTTTCCGATTGCGCCTGGTTTGGACAAAAACCAGCCCAGCTGAAGCGACATGACCTCGTAACGATTCGACTCGACGCCAGCGTGGGCGCGCGCGCCCCCATGCGCGATTCGGAGGTGGCCAGTTCATTGATGTCGCGGCTCTGGAGTTCACAGCTTCCACGGATGTGAATGAGAGCCTGAATATGGGCTACAAGGACTGCGGGTCTCGCGCTGCAACGCTGTGAACTTGTATTTGGATGTGTGTTTGCTGTCCCGTGTGATCTGATCATTTTTTCCGTCATTTTTTGGATGTGTGTGTGTGTGTTTGTGTTGTTTTTCTTGGGGGGGACTCCCGCAAATGCTGGTTTTCCTTGTGGCTTCCCTAAAAATCCAACCATCAGGGGGTCCCTAGAAAAAAAGCAGACCCATATGTTCATGAAGTCAGTTGGCTAAGTGCTTTCTTCACATCATTGCTCAGAGAGAGCGCGACCCGGCAACCGATTCATCAACCCG